CCTAGCAAACTCATGTACCTACAGACCCAGGTAGCTGTTGACACTGGACAAGCCCCCACCCCTTTCTAAACCTTGGTTTGTTTCCATCATCCCCTGCACACTGCTTAGCGTGTAGTAGGCACTCGATAAAAGTTTGTTGGAAGAATGAACAGGCTAACAGCATCCACATTCCACATGGCTGTGTTAAAAATAAGATGAGTTAATGGATAAAGAACATGTGGTACATATACACAATGGAATATTATTCAGCCATAAGAAAAAAACAGATCCTACCATTTGCAACAACACGATGGAGCTAGAGGGTATTATGCTCAGTGAAATAAGCCAGGCAGAGAAAGACAAGTACCAAATGATTTCACTCATCTGTGGAGCATAAGAACAAAGGAAAAACTGAAGGAACAAAACAGCAGCAGAATCACAGAACCCAAGAATGGACTAACAGTTACCAAAGGGAAAGGGACTGGGGAGGATGGGTGGGAAGGGAGGGATAAGGGCGGGGAAAAAGAAAGGGGGCATTACGATTAGCATGTATAGTGTAGGGGGGGGCACGGGGAGGGCTGTGCAACACAGAGAAGACAAGTAGTGATTTTACAGCATCTTACTATGTTGATGGACAGAGACTCTGAAGGGGAATGTGGGGGGGACTTGGTGAAGGGGGGAGCGTAGTAAACATAATGTTCTTCATGTAATTGTAGATTAATGATACCAAAATTAAAAAAAAAAATAAGATGAGTTAAATGATGGGATGTGCTCTAGAAAGGCTAAAAGCCCTCAACACTCATGGGGACAGCCGGATCGACAGAGACACACGGGGCTGGCTGGTGTGGCCACAGCCAAAGCCTGAACACAGGGGAGTTGCTCTGGGCAGGCAGAGATAGAGGGAGGTGAGTGCTCCAACCACTGAGCCACGGACATCACCTGAGTCCACACCACAGGCCAGGGCCCCCAGTGGGTCTGGGAGCAGGAGAGGAGGGCTCTGAGGTGCCAGATGTGGCCCCTGGCCCTTGTGGAGCCTAGGCCTGTCCATGGAGGCTTCAGGGGGTCAGGTCCACCCAGCACAAGGAAGAGCTACCTTCAGAGCCCGGACTCCCCATCCCTGCCGGTGGGCAAGTAAAGGTCAGAGGCCACACTCTTAGGGACACCTGCATTCCCCCCGCATGAGTCTGGGTGGAGCCAGTGGGTGACAGAAGGTGAGACTGAGCCTGGCGTTTGTGGGGGATGGAGGAGGAGAGTCACCTGCTGGAAAGAAGGGGGGCAGGAAGGGTGGGCTTGAGCCAGATCGTGAAAGGCCTTTCAGATGACGAGGAGCCGCTGAAGGCAGGCCTGCAGTAACGACCACCAGTAGGGCTGAGAGGGGCCTCGGCTGCCCCAGACTCACATGAGGCTCCCTGTGGGGAGGAAAGGGCGAGAGGATCGGGCCCAGAATCAGCACCTCACTGTCTGACCACAGCAACCCTGAAGAAGATTACGGAGGACGGCGTCCGCCAGCAGGCCCTTGGGAGGAGCAGCTGGAAGCGTGAGCAGCAGTTCCTTCCTGCTGGTGGACCTAGAGAGCCTGCAAAGCTGGGGTAGCAGGCCGCTCCATGGGCAGGGGGTCCCCCCAGGCTGGGGCACCCTGACCGGTGAGGCCCGGATTCCTCCTCTACATGACCTTGTCCACGCTCAGAGGCTTTGAATCCACACCCTCCCCAGGTAGATGAATTCTGGACATGCCCAGCCCCTGCCTCCGCCCTCAGCGGCAGCCTTACACACCCACGGTGGGAGCGGCCTCTCTGTGCCAATGTTGGCATCTCAAACGTACTTCCAAACAGGCCTCCTCCTTTTCCCTCCAGATCCATCCTTGGCTCCCTTGCTCGGCTTAGGCAAAGGCCCCAGCACCCGCCTGTCCTAGGCGCTGACCGCTGCATCTCCCAGCCCACAGCCAGCTCTCTGGTTCCCTCCACTCGGCCGCTCCTGCACACCCAGGCCTGCCAGGCCTCGCTCTCTAGACTGATGCTGGGGCCTCCTAGCCACCCTGCCAGGCTCTCTGCCTCGGCCTGTCTCCCACGTCTCTCCTACAAAGCAGTGACAGGGAGCCTGTGAGCCATGAATCTCCTGCCTTCACACTCTCTCACTTGAGGCCCACTTCTCAGCCCCCCGTTCCCACCGGCTTCTCCCAGCAAAAAGCCTGTGCAGACCTCCAAGGGCCTGTCCCACTCCTAAAGCCCACTCCCCAGAGAGGCCTTTTCCTGACCACTGTGCAAAGAATGTCCCCGTCTGCATGCTTGTTCCCTTTCTGACTCATTTTTCTCCACAACACTTACTATTCTCTAGTCCTATATTATGAATTTACTTATCTGGGGTTTTTTTGGTCTGCTCTGTTAGAATTTATCCTCTATGAAGGTAATTACCTAGTATAACTTATCCACCCTGGGTAGGCAGAACAGTTCCTGCCACATAGCAGGTGTCCAGCAAGTATGTGTAGAATAAACCACAAATGAGCCATTGAACAAATGAATGACTTCAGTAAGTACCTGGTATATGCCACAAGGAAGGAGAGGGGGCAAAGCAGGCTAGGTTTGCCCCAGGAGCCCCCTCAGTTTGGGGTGAAACAGCCCCTCCCCCATGAGCAATCCCACCCAGCACGTGAGCGTGCTGGGGTGAACGTGTGTGCACAAGGGAGGGGAGCTCTGGAAAGGGGCCACCAGCTGGGCCCAACGGGTCAGAGAAGCTTCCTGGAAGCAGCAGCCCCGCCCAAGCCCTCTCACTGGCGCTCTTGGACATGGGCCTGCTCCCACTGCCCACTGAGGGGATGGAGGGAGGCCTATCTGCCCGGCCACACTGGTTCAGGAGTCGGTAAGTGTTAAAAGCCAGTGTGTGAATCCCTCCGGCAGGAAGCAGGCCTGGCGGGGCTTGACGGGCTTAATTTAAATGTCACTGATCCTGCCAGTAAGCGAGAAGTCAGGGGCTGTGACACCTGGGCCCCCGCGTTGCCTGCTCTCCCCCACCCAGCCACCCCTTGCTCCCCTCGGACCACAGTAGTGCTGGAGGAGGAGGCGGGAGATGGCAGGAGGGTCTGGACTTCCTCCAGGAGCCCGAAGCTTTGCTGGTTATGTCTCAACTCAGAGCACCTCCAAGGCTCCTCAGGACCAGCCCTGCCCTGTCCTGGGCAACGACTCCCCAAGCGCTCCAAAGGCCCGAACCTCTACACCCTAAACCTACCCTTTCTACCCATCAAAACCCTACACACATCATCTTGTTCACCCAGGCGCCATGTGTAATGACACACCAGTGGAAACAATCAAAACACATGACAGAGAATTGTTAAACACGCTGTGGCACACACAGGCTGGAACACTATGCTGCCATTAAAAATCACATGACAGAGGAGCATTTAACGATGGGAAAATTATATTGGTATAGTATTCAATGCAAAAGGCAAGCTAGAAAACAGTTAGTACAGTTTGATTCCAATTATGTCATAAATAACTGTTTTGTAAAAGACTGAGGGACACAACACCCAAGTGCTCAAATTTCTATAGAAAACTTACATTTTTTTTAATAATCAGAAAAATAGAACATTTTAAAAGAATCCTACAGCCTCCAAGTTTCCACCCAGGAGTCCCCTCCTCCAAGCCGACCCCCCATCTGAGAGTGCGGCCTCCACTCTGGTTAGGTCCCCCCATCTCTCTGCCCACTGAGCTTCCTTCCTGGGGTCCCTTGCTGTCCACCTGGACAGCAGCCAGCCTGCTGCAGCCCCCCTTCCTGACACCCCTGCCCCCAGCCCTCCCATCACCCCTGGCCTGCCTTGCAGACAACTCTGTTCACATCCCCTCTCCCAGTCTCCCAGCAGCCATTACAGGTTTAACCGGAGGGGCTAATTAGCCGCTTGGTGCACCCAGAACTGACTGATTAGCAGGAGTGTTTTGATGGAGATAACGGCACTTGAGAGCAAGGCCTAGTGCTTGGATGCAAACCCAGCCATCTGCCCCCTGCCAGGACCCATCAGCTTCCAGGATGGGAGCACGGTGCCAGGTAAGCTGTGGCCACACCACACTGTCACCCCATCATTCAGAAGGGGTTCAAGGCCTGCTGCCCTGCTAAGCTGCCAGGTCTTCCTCTGAAAAATGGGGATGAAACTCCAGTCCAGCCTGCATTCCCTTTATTTAGCAAAGCCCCTCTGCAGCCTTCTCAGGGGTCACAGAGGCCTATCAAGATCGGGGTCGGCCCACATAAAGGGTGGAAGTCGCTTGTTCAGGGTCACAACCAAGCCAGGTACCAAGCCAGACAGCAACCCAGGTCTGCCTTCCTCCCCACCATCCACCTCTCAGGACTGCCGAGTCTCTCTCCGGGCCCACACACGAGGCCCAGGGTGGGAGGGCCAGTCATCACCCACATGCTGGGTGTTCCACTCCTTGTGATTCAGCCCAAGAAGCCATGTACTCGGCTCACTCAGAGGCAAGGTCACTTGGCTGCCGGTGCTTGTCACATGTGCAGAGCTGGGGCTGAGCCCCGTCCTGCTCCAACAGTGTCTGGGTCAGCACCCTGACTCGGAGCCTGCTCAACTCCTCATGCTGGAGCCAGCGCTGGACCCCTGACAGTCTCTTGGACCCTGACTGTGCCAGTCCACGTGTTCCCACTCCCTCCTGACCTGGAGTCAGGCACACATCTGGTCAACATGTGACAGGACCAAGGACAGAGCCCTTTAGCTCAGCACTAGAGACTTCCTGTGCTGCCTGGAGAACCCATCAGCTGGCACATCCATGAAGCCATGTTGCCCAGAACACCCCACAGCAGGGCAAGAAAGTGGCACAGCCAAGATCGACCTCCCGGACTTGACTTCATGTGGGGAGGGACATACAGGGGCCTTTCCAGAAGGACACAGGTGGGGGCTGCAGGGATCCTTAGGAACTAGGGGTGCTATTCCCATAGCCTCTCCTTCAGGGACCCCACATCCCAGCCCCGCCTCCGATGGTCCATGCCACCCACCCTCTGCCCAGCAGCCCATAGTAGCTTCTTACCTCAGGCCAGGGAGGTGTTCGGGGAGTATAACTGGGCTGGGAGTGTCAGCCTGGGCTTGACTCAGTTGCCCCCTCTGCCTGCGGGCACTGGACACTCAGAGTCTGTGGGCGCAGGGGCCTGTGGGAGAAAGAGGTGAGCTGTCAGTCCGGAGTGGGTGTGGCAGGAGGCAGTCCCAGGAGCAGGGGGGCCCTGCACACACACAGGTCAGACCCCACCTGGTCAGGCAGTGAACACCGCACACGTCTCCACACACACTGACATGTGCGCATGCTCTCTCCTGCTGACATACTCAGGCTTACACACTTGCACACACTCACGCCAGCACGCTCACACTTGTGCTTGCACACTCATATTGTCACATGCCCTTCCTTGGTGACATGTTCACACATCACTGACACACTGGCACTCACACACACGCTCTCACTCACTGATATGTGCACGCACACACACACACACACACACCAACAGCTGGGGCAGGTGGGGCTCTAGGAATGGCGGGGTCTCTGGCTCCAGGCAAGGTGCTGAATGTGCCCCCCCCTATTGGCTGTGACCTTGAGAAAGTCAAGACTCTGCACCTTACTTCCCTCCTCCATAAAATGGGGACACCATCCCCACTGCCGGGACTGTTGGGAAGATACAAGAAGGGCAGGGACACATGGCCAGGTGCCCACTATGTATCCGGACACCGCCAGCGCCTGCCTTCCTTCCCGGCCCAGCTCCAGGCTCAGGGGCCGGCCCCCGACAGGGGTGCGGGTGGGGCACCGAGGGTGCCTCTCCTTGGGCCTGAGCCTGAGCACCCACAGGTCCCAGGGATCCCTGCAGCTCCCACCCACCCCTCCCTTCGTCCCCCGCCTCTCCTGGTTTGTTCCTTCACCAAACATTCTCCAGGAACGACTCGGCCCCAGGCCCCCATGCTCCACTAGGGAGTCCTGTCTCCTCGGCACGGCCTGGGGCCGGGAGCCCCAAGAGGCAGGCCGGCTCCCAGCTCCCCACGGTGCTGCCGTGTGGTCCTGGGCAGAGCTTCCCCATCTGAGCCTGACTGTCCTCAACCCTCAAATACCAGAATCCCTTCCAGAGCTGTGGCCAAGAGTGTCGGTCCAATCAGTGTGTCTCTAGGTGCGGGACACACACCATTAGAGGTGCACAGGGGATCCCAGGTGGTACACAAACATTTTTATTTTCACGGGTATGTGTTACCTTTTCTGTGTTTGTTTTTTTTTAATGACAGGCACATCACAGCTGTGATTTCACAGATGTGTGGCTTGGGCACACTGGGTAATCCACCTTAAAGAATGAATCAACGCAAAGACAAGAAAAAAAACATGAGTGCAGGTGGTACCCAGAGGTGGCACGGTGGTGAAAGGGACATTTGGAGTGTTGGCAAATACTTGGGCCTGGCCCCTGGCAGCCCTCACAAGGGTCAGCAGCTCCCTGCTTCTGTAGAGGCCAGGCCATCGCTGCCTGTCAGTCCTGATTTCCGTATGGTCCATAAGGCACCATCCATCCCAGGCCTCCCAGGTGGGATTGATGGAAGCACGGATGGATGAGGCTCAGGGATGGGCCAACATGTGGGCAGAGCTGGCAAAGGCTCCTGAGTAACTCCCAAAATCAACATTCCAAGTCTAAGATAAAATGGTGGGTTTTCTAGCCAACAAGGTAGGCTAGAGTTTCTCATCTACATAGCAGGCAAAGAGAAGATAAAGGGACTCGTTGGAAGGATGAGTTTTCTTTCACGGGCGGCAAACTTCTCCGAGGAGGCAGGGAAATGGGCACGGAGCAGGTTCCGGGGCCAACCTTAGTTTTCTTGTCTTGACAATGGAGCCACAAACAGTGTGGACCTGATAAGAGAGTGCCTGCCTAGCCCCCCAGTTTACTGGTCCCAAACTATACCCCCTGATGCCAGCAGGCACCAGGGGGGCCTCTCAGTAGCTGCTGACCCCACGGGAGAGGACAGCACATAGTGGTGCCAGCCTGGGTCAAAAGGGCAGCAACAGCCTGGGTAGTTAGTTCTTCAGGCCTGGGTCCTCCAAACCAGGCTTACCAGGCAGAGGTGCCCTCAGTAGCCACCCTAGCTGGCTCCTGGTAGCCTGGCACAAGCCAGGGAGCCCTGTCGCTGGCAAGCCTCCAGACTCCTGGCTGGTGGCCCCAAGCCCAGGTCCACCTGAGCTGGCAGGGCAAGCCGTTCCCGCAGAGCCACGCCACGCCCCCAGCTGCCATGTTCCAAGACAATGAATGGGCCTCCCGCTCCCTTCTCCCCAAACATTCCTGAAGCTCCCACTCTCCTCTGTGGCATCACGAGGAGTTGCCATGGAAATGGGACCACAGGCAGAGCATGATGATGATTTGGGCAGGGAATCACAGTGGGAGCCAGGCGCTCGTCCGGACAGGAGGCCTGCCTGTGTGCCGAGTCCCACAGAGGGCAAGAAATCTCAGCTGCAGGCCCCCTAGCCACGGTGGGCAAAGGGGATCACACGGCCACGGGGACCACAGCAGACGGGGGAGGCCTCCTGCTTGCCCTCTGGCTCCTTGCCCCTCAGTGGAGCCCAGGGAGCTCTGGGAATCAGATGCCTGTGTGTTCAACAGAATTAACACGTGCCCTGGGGAACGGGAGACTCCACGAAAATGGCTACTGCAGGCTGCTGCAAAGTGGGTTCAGTACTGCGGGGAGCTAGTACCCAGCAGGTGCTCAGTGAACACTGTGATCAAAAAGGATGGTATTGGTATGTGTGCATGTGTGTAAGAGAGAGAGAAACGTGAGCATGTGCCTGCTCTGGCCAACACAGTCACAGAGTCACAGAGCTTGAGAAGCACAGGCCCATAATATGGACAAGGAGACTGAGGCACAAGGGTCCCTTCCCTTCCCTTCCCTTCCTTCCATTCATTCATTCTACTTTTGGTAAGTGCCCATTTTGTGCTTGGTAACTGAGATACAGAGATGTGAAGGACATCATACCTGCCCACCAGGGTCTCAGAGAGGAGACAGGCCTCATGGTCAGAGAGAGGGTGCTGGCGCAGAGGTCCAGAGGGCCCCAGGAGCCCAGAAAAAGTGACCTCAGAGATTTCAGTCACGCACGTCTGAGCCACCCTTCAAAGAGACTTCCGGGCTTCCCTGCCTTGTCTCTCAGCCCCTGCCTCAGCCTAAGCCCCCCAATGGCTTCCACGTGGAGGCCCGCCTGAGGCCATCACTTCCAGGAGGCAATGGGTGTGTTCCCCATTAGCACCCTCAGTCCCTAGAAATGACAGACTATGAGGGAAATGCTTTGTTCCACAGAAAAGGCTCAGAGGATATTGGTGCCTAGACTGCCAGCCTCCACCAAGGCTCAGCACCTCCCCGCACTGCCCATTCTTTCCCTGCTCAGGCTTCCTTTCCTAGGCACCCCCGTGAGCCAGGCACTGCACTGGGCCTGGGGCAGGGGGCATTAAACAAGGAAGCCGTGGTCATCAGGTATGACCCTCGTGGAATCCAAGGTCCCATCCCTTTGTGAGCAGCCAGCAAATTCTCTCCTGTAGTGTTTTTGGGGGAAGAAGTGGGGTAGTACTGAGAGAGCAAGAGGGCACACCGTCCAGAGCTTGGCTTGGAAGACCCGCCAGCCACAGAATCGGCCCTCCTACCCCTACCGTGAGGAGTATAAACGCAGGGATGCACAGTTCCATCCCACATCTCTGAGCCTCAGTTTTCCCATTTCTAAGTGAAACACATGCCATGAGTGATTCCCCAGGTCTCCAGAGCCTCTGATGCTTTATGGGATGCCTGCCCTGTGACAAGCCCATGCCATGTCCATGGAGAGTTAGGCTAGAGCAGCAGAGACCAGGGCCTGCCCTCGGGGCTTCCTGGCTGGTTGGCAAATGAAAACTGCGGCTGTGGAGCACAGGCCACTCAGCAGAGCTGGGTGTGGAAGCAACCATGGCAGGGCTCCCAAACTTGTGACCTCTGTGCCTCCAGAATGCCACAGTCTCCACCTCTCCCTGTTGCATCACACCCCGCCTGCTCTACTCTTTACCTGCCTGTCCCCTTTAGGCACTAGGTATGTACTCTAGCTCCAGGGCCACAAGCTTAAAAATGGAAAACCTAGTGCGAGCTGGGCAGTCATCAAGGAAGGCTTCCTAGAGGAGAGGGAACAAAGAGGGTCAAATTCACACAGGGGGTCTTGATACTCAGATGAAGAATCCAGACCCTGAGGAGTTATAGGCAGTGTGTATATGTTCCCTTCCTCTGGGCAGGGATGCCTGGCACCACCCTTGGCTGGCCTCAGAGCTGTGTCCCCAGTAGAAGCTTGAAGGGGTGGGGGAACCTGAGATCGAGGCGGCCTCTGCCCTCTTCTGCAGCCATGGACTGAGACTCCATCCCAGAGAAATCAGTCCTAGTCAGGAAGGCCTGGCAGCCACTGAGGCCTCATTGCAAACAGCTTTGCCACTGGTGACTGCCGTCTGGCGGGGGAGGGCTCGCCAGCAGATTAAGAGCAATGCCGGCCCTGGACTCATTCATATTCTGGTCTGGCTGTTGGCTTCAACATGGCTGAGAGACGCAAGGGCAGAGGCAGCCCTCTGAGAATGCCCACAGATGATTCCTCTCCGATCCCAATTTATTTTCTATCATTAATGTTTTTGAAAAGCCCCACATGCTCTGCTAACAGTGAAGGAGCGCAGGAGGGAAGGAGAGGGTCGGGGGCAAAAGGGGGGACAGCAGAGGCGGTGCGGGCCAGCTACGGGGCCTGAGGCCTAACCCCACCCCATCTCACCTGCCTGCTGAACCCCTGGGCAGACCTGACCTGTTCCTGTCCGTGAGGACTGCCCCCCTGCTCTGCCTACCTCAGGAGAAGGTTTATAACATCTATTGAGGGGTCAGAGGTGAGTGAGCTTTATACACTATAAAGGGCTGTATTCCTTGAGAAATGGGGAGGAAAGATGACTGTTCTATAGCAGCAGAGGCCTCTGAACTGCATGCCTGCCCTCCTTATACAGAGCTATACCCTCCCCAAAGTCCACGGAAGGCCTGGACTGCCTCTCCTCACAGCACAAGCAGGGGAGGTAAGCGCCAGGATTTGGGTTCCCTCGTCTTGTCTGTCTCAGACTCACAGTGCCATCCTCCTTTCCCCTACAGGCTCAGGAGGCCAGCC